CAAATGTAAGCAGAAACATTGTTCTTTGACAATGGATTTTTGGAAGTACCCTCAACCATTGTAAGATTATAATAATACAGGGTGTCCAGTGGCAGATTTCAAAGTTTGAAAAATTATAAAAAAAAAGAACGACATGTTTTATGCAAAGTATTTTTATTAAAATATAAAGAACATAAAGGCGAATTTTATTTTTTGAAAACAACGTTTTCTAAATGGCGGCCATCGACCCTAACACACTCCTCGAGTCTGGAACGCATGTTTTCGAAAACTCTTTTACAAAGCGACTGGGGAATCTTGCTGATTTCTGCTCGAATGTTTTCTTTCAGCTGTGTCACAGTGGTCGGATTTGTTTTGTAAACGATAGATTTTAAGTATAAGAAAAAGTCACACGGACTTAGGTCTGGTAACCTGGGAGGCCACGGTATGGTGCCGTTCCGGGATATGATTTTTTCGGGAAACAACTCTCGCACTGCACTATGGCCACATAGGCAGTGTGAGCTGTGGCCCCATCTTGCTGGAACCACGTATTCCGGTTACAGTATGGACTATTCTGTAATTCTAGTCTAAAAAAATCACTGATCATCTCAGCATATCTCTCGGAATTTACTGTTACAGTTTGGCCACGTTCATTTTCGAAGAAATAAGGCCCTATTATGGCAGACGCAGATATTGCACACCATACTGTGACTTTTGGTTTGTGTAAAGGCTCTTCATGCAATTTTCTCGGGTTAGAAATATCCCAATAACGAAAATTTTGTTTATTTACATATCCTCCGATATGGAAATGGGCTTCGGCACTGAAGAATATGTTACCCATCCGAGTAGCAGTTTTAAATCTCAACAACATCGTCTCTGCGTAAGTTTTCCTCAATTCAAAGTCAGATTCGAGTAAATCTTGGACGATTTGGATCTTATAAGGATGTAATTTAAGTTTTTTTCGCATTATTACCTATAAAGTTGATTTACTAATACCCAAAATAGATGAACGTGCTCGAAGTGATAAACGAGGATTTTCAATCACAGAAGCCATAACACGTTCGACATTTTCGTCCGTGGCTACCGTTGGTGTTGGTCCTGGTCTGGGTCTATTTATTGTTGATCCCGTTGCTCTAAACCTTGCTACCCAAGACTGAATCAGGTTGATTGATGGTCCATCACGAACTCGACGAATACCGTAGTGATTATTAAATCGACGACGGGCTTCAGACAGCGAAAATCCACTCGAAAAGTACACCTCGACGACAAAAGCGCGGTGCTCTCCACTCCACGGATCCATGGCTACTAAGAAATCCGCATCGCTTGCACGTCGAATAACCCCCTCCGCGCCGTTCTCCTACGTTGCGTTCGAAAATTAAGTCTGTTCAAAGTTTGAAATCTGCCACTGGACAGCCTGTATATTTGACGACTGTAATATGTTGACTGGTCAGGCAATTTTGGAAGGGGTAGGTTTTTTTGACAGTCAAATGAAATTACTTTCACATTTTCAGGTGCACTGTCTAATTTTTCATAAAATGCTTTCGGTCGCAAACTATGAACATGTTTTTTTATCATCAATAATTTTTTCTTAATTGGGTCTATTTCAATTTTAATTTTTTCCTTAAGTTCCAAGCAATTAGAACACACATCAGTCTTTGGTGTTCAACATGGCGGAAATACGACAACTTCACTAGAGGATGTACATGTTCACTTACTTTGTACATTTGGAATAATTTAGACAAATTTAATTCAGGTGGTAGATATTTTTGTTCAGCTGTTTTCGTTTTTCTTACAGTAGTGAGATTCTATACATTTCAATGTTGCAATGTAGTTGTGAATGGATCGTTTTTGGTCAGCGAACTTTGCTGTTTTGCGGTCTCCTCTACGATGCTCAGTGCCAACTTCCCCAGTGTAATAAAACTTTTTCATGACAAATGCCACTCTGTGTTTGGTTATCCCAAAAATATGCAAAAAAAAATTATTACAGATAGGTATTCTCGTCTTGTTAACAATAACTGATGGTAGTTTGTTTCTTCCCTTTATATTTGTGATGATACTGGTACGGTTAGCCGACATTATTTTACATAATTTTAAGAGTATAGCATCTTGATCTTTTTTATTCGTATGGGAATAAAAGTCCTGATGAATTTTTGTCATTTGTGCCATAGTTATAGTCTGACATTTAAATGCTGGTCTATTGTGATTGCAAACTCTCTGCAGCATACTCTTTGATTCATACTTAAACAAAAAAAAATTTAAATGAGCATGTGCGAATGACACATATCTTACAACCAGCAGGCCAAAAATTTAAACTCTTATTTACAAAGTTATTTTTGTCCTTCCTTCTCATAATATTTAATCCTCAAAATATTATTGTTATGGATCGCAGTGGACTGTATTATTGGGGGGTACGCTAGGGGCAACTGCTCAAAGAAAAGATGGTACTGTCGAGCTATACTGTATTCTAACTATTTACAAATGTGGCACTATCAATTAAACTATTATACAGAGGGGAGTCTTCTTAATGGAGTCTTCTTGAGTCTTGATTTTCTTGATTTCTCTTGCTGTCTTCTTCTCGTCGAGTGCCGCTTCCGAAATGAACAGCTCACCGTCCGAGACGCCCTTCTTATATCTCGCCGGAGAGCGTCTCGGGTCGTGCGTAGCGTCGTCCGCGATGCCGCGCGCTCGTTGGTCGGCGACATCGCGTGATCTGCTGCCGGTGTGCGGGGTGCGCGGGGCGCACCGGGGTGTGAAGGGGCGACGGGGCGGCGGCCTCCTCGCTGTCCGCTACATCCTCCCCCCGGCGTAGCCTGCGAGCCTAAGCTTCTCTCGGGAGGACGGCGATCTTCCTGACGGGCCGCCGCAGCACTCCTCCCTTGGTCCGGACCTCGACGTTCCGTACCACGCCGTCTGGTCCAGGAAACGTCTTCGTTACGATGCCCCGCGGCCACACATTCCTGGGTAGGTTGCCGTCCGCAACCACGACGAGGTCCTCTTCCTGTATTTGGCGCTGCTGAGCATCTCTGGAGTCCCCGCGCGCGACCAGCGTCGGCAGGTACTCCTTCACCCAGCGCCTCCAGTACTCGTCGGCGAGCCCCTGCGCCGCCCTCCACGCCCGACGATCCATAGGTGTGCACGGCGCGGTGACTGGCAGGCCCGATGGTCCCAACAGTAGGAAGTGGTTGGGTGTCAGCGCCTCTTCATCGTCGATGTCGACCGGTACGTGCGTCAACGGTCGAGAATTTATAGTATTTTCGGCTTCAGTCAGAAGCGTTGCCAGCGTTTCTTCTCGTGGGCTCTTCTGATGGAGAGTGGCTTCGAGCGCGGTCTTCACTGAGCGCACGAGACGCTCCCATGCGCCTCCCTGGTTAGGCGCGCCCGGTGCGATGAACTTCCAATCGACGCGCCGAGTCAGCGCGTAATCCTTCAACTGTGGCGCCCACTCTTCCATTGCCCGTCGTAATTCTGTGTTTGCCCCATGAAAATTAGTCCCATTATCCGAATAAATAACCCGTGGCCACCCACGCCTAGCCGCCATGCGCCGCAATGCCGATATCGCCGAGTCCGCGGTCAGAGAATAGACTATCTCTAGATGTACTGCGCGCGTCGTTAGGCACGTGAACAGTGCCACCCACCGTTTTTCGTGCCGTCGTCCTATCGTAACCGTCAGTGGCCCGTAATAATCAATCCCGGTGTTCGTAAATGGTCGCGCAAACGCCCCTAACCGTTCAGGTGGTAGGTCTCCTGTAACCGCAGGTCGTGGTGTCGCCTTCCGTATTCTGCATCGTAGGCATCTCCGCTCCGCTTCCCGTACTGTAGGTCGTAATCGGAGGATATGATACCTAGTGCGCAGGTCGTTCACCACCCTCTCCCTATTGGCGTGGCTTGCATCCTGATCCGCCTTCTCCACAAGCAGCTTCACAAATTGGTGACGTCCATTCAGGATAATGGGTCTCTTCATTTGACCGTCCACGTCGGCTGCGTCGATCCTTCCCCTGGCTCGTAGTACTCCATCCTCCAATATGGGGTCGAGCTTCCTTAGTGCGCTGCCGGTGGTCAAATTCTTTCCCCGCTGAAGGCGGCTGATGTCTTCAGCGAAGCTTTCCTGCTGGCTGTGTTGTATCCACATCCGTTCTGCTCTCTAGATGTGCTGTAAGGTCAATCCTCGTGCTCTTCCTCGTGCCGCGTCGAGGAATTGTAATACTCTTGCTGTGGCCCTGATTAACTTCTCGTAGGCAGAGAATCTCTCTATGTCTGGCAGGTGTAGAGCTTCCTGGGTGTCGCTCTGGTGCGCCACGATTTCCTCCAACTCTTCATCATTCCCCGCCTTCTCTTCCTGTCGGTGAGGCCATCTGTCTTCATGCTCGTAGAGGAAGGGTGGTCCGGTAAACCACTTGTCGCTCTCTTCCTTGGTTGTGAAATTCATCCGCGCTGCCTGATCCGCTACGTTTTCCGCAGTCGGTATCCACCACCTCCATTGCTCGGGTGATGTCTTCTCAGCTATCTCCCCTAACCGGTGAGCAACGTATGGAGTGTAACGTGCCGTATCGTTTTGTATCCAGTGGAGCGCCGTAGTAGAGTCCGTCCAATATCCCCTAATAATATCAAAATACCCTATCTGCTACCACTCTGTGTTCGTCCTGCACGAATTCCGCGAGTCGCGCGCCTATTAACCCTTTAATGCGCAGAAAAATAAAAGTTATGTAAACATGTTTTTTTCTGTTTAATTGCATTAATGTTGACTAATTATAGCCAAAAAAAATAGAAATTATTATTATTATTGTATACTTTATCAAATATCGTATGTTAAAAATACTCAACATTGCGCGACATATTGGAACATTACCTAATAAATTGAGCGTTGAGTATTTTCAACATTGCCCTTGTAAAGGTAGTTTACTAATATATTAAAATAAAAGAACAAACTATAGAGAAAATCAAATAAAGTTTTATTTCTTATTAATTAATCATAGAATAAGTTGGCTAGACACAGCCTTAGTAGAAAAAATCAAATTCACATATTATTACTTAACATGGTAATTATAAAAACAGTTTCTCTTACTAACTAGACACAGCCTGAGGATACATTTTGAGCAAGTAATATTTGTGTACCCATTTTTACAGTATTTGCACCGTCCATACGACACAAACATGGGTAAATGTCCATTGTTGTCATATCGTACAGCATCAGTCGGTCTTGGAGCAGCTGGAGTAATTATTTTTTTAGGAGGATCGTTTTCCTGACTCACTGTCACCCTCGTTCTGTTTTTATGTAAAAGCTCAGATACTATCTGTATCCGAAATTTTTTGAGAGGTAAACGGTCTTTAGGATCAGCATGATCTCTCCTATGTAATAACCAAGCATTGTTGACGCAAATATCCAGAGATTGTGAAAACATGGTCATGTACCACCTCTTAGTTTTAAAGTTTGAACGGTATAGAGCGATAAGCATGTCCGCCAAGTCTACGCCCCCCATATGGGCATTATATTGCTTCACAATCTGAGGACAATTGACCTCCACCCTAGATTCTGTATCTTTGGAATACCTTTGAATCTTTCCCATTGGATGGGAATCGACGAATGAACTAGCCAATGTCACCGGCTTATTGTCATACCATCTGACAACAGCAAGTTTCGTGTCATTGCAGACGATCTGGGAGCTTGCACCCCGTCCTTTTTTTGCGAGAACTTTATCTGCTAGTAGTTTATTTTGACAACCTCTCAAACGATTACTTTTTATGGTACCAAGACTAAAAATACCGTATTCTTGACGCAAATGGTGAATTAGCTCCAATGACGTAAAGAAATTGTCAAAATATACGACTGCAGGTTTATCCTCAATGGTCTTGCAAAGTGCTAGCACAACTTTTGCTCCAAGACCGAGGCTCTCCTCGTATTCAGTAAAAGAATGATTTCTAAACGTGTCTTCTCCACCATAAGGAATGAAATCATACACTAAACCAGAGACGCCTGCTCGAACGAATAACTTCATCCCCCATTTTTTTGGTTTTTTAGGTAGATATTGGCGCCTACTTCCCGCTCTTGTCCCTTTGTATGGGACCATCATTTCGTCGACGCTGTAGCGTTGTTCCTCCTTCATTTTTAAGCAATTAAGCCTAATTTTTTCAATAATTGGTCGAACTTTGTAGTAACGGTCGTCGTTAATGTTGCTGTTGTCGGCGAAATGTAAATATTTCCTTATTTTCTCATACTTTTTTAAAGGCATGATATCAGCGACAGCTGGATATCGCAAAAATCGACTCCAATAATCTCTGTAAGAGGGCATTTTCACTACCCCCATAATGAGTGTAATCGCTATGAAATCTTTCACATCATCGTTTGTTATATTTATAGATCTCGAATCGGTTTGAACTGAATATAAGTTTGTCTGTTCTACTATTAATTCGAATATGTCATTTGAAAAAAAGTCAGTGAAATAATCTAAGATTGAATGATGTGGATCGGGTGAGAAATCGTGTTTCGGTGGTTCAAATATAGCTGCGTACTGTAGTTTTCCTGCTCTGAATTTGAATGATAGAGGTTTTCTTACAAACTTCTTTACTTTTTTTGCCGCTGGGTGTTTAGGTTTTGTGTTCTGTCGTCGCTTTGAACGTGTATTAGGTGCTGCTGGAGACATGTTAGGTGATAATACTGATGAGACCGAATTCAGTGTGAATGGGAGCGGCTGATTTGACGGGCCTGGTGAAAACATTTGGTTAATTAAAGGAGACAAGGGAATTGTTGGTATGTGGAGTATGGAATCATTCATTATATCTTGTGGCATCGACGCAGACGAAATCGGAGTTTGGACTTCAGAACATGGTACTTCAGGTATGTTGCAATCATTTTGTTGAGGCGGAGTTGGCGATGGAGGCGTCGTCGGACGAGAATTTTCTTTGGAATTGGGTAAGTATGACTTGCTTTCATTTTGTAGCTGTAGTGGCCTAGGTGATGGCGTCGCAGGAATCTCATCTTCGGAATGTGAATCTAAGCTTAAGTAATCAATTTCAGAGGGATAAGAACGTGGTTCAGATGATTCGTAGTTGTGTTCTGAGTCAGATGATTGTTGTTTTTTCGGTTTTGTGTAATTATTGATTATAACTTCATCTTCAGATGTGCTGCTGTCATCGGAGGGTGCTTTTGCGGGAGGTACAAGCGCCAAAATTTTTTGCGTGCGTTGCCATTTAAGCATTTTCTGAAGCAAAATAACACAAAAAACGTAGGGCATCCAAAACCAAAGCGAAAAATGAACAATAATAGGGTCTCAGATAAGAGGGGAATAAATGTTAGTACACGCGCAATGTTGAATATACTCATCATGTTAAGTTATAGGACAAAACCTAAAGCATTTCGCAATGTTGAAAATACTCAACATAGAAAAAATCAGGTGAATAATAGTAACATTCGCATTGTTGAGTATATTCAACATTCAACTTGAAAACCATCAAACACATACTAAACCACAATATTTTCAGGCTTTTTTTCATTACGTGCATAAAATAATAATTTAAAATTGAAATGCAAGGCAATAATAGGTATCAATATGATTTAAATTGCTAATAATAAATTTTATTTACCTTAGGTCCAAACGGTGCAGATGAACGTGATGCCATTTTGCCGCCACTGTCAAAATCTGACGTTTGTGACACACAACTTTCTTTTTACGAGTTGCGTTTCGTTTCACCTTTTTTTCAAAGTAAAAATATTTTTTCTACGCGTTCAAGTTTTCATACAGGATTTATTTATTTCGAATGTTGAGTATTCTCAACTTTACGAATTAAAGGGTTAAGTTCGCCTGCAACTCTAATCGCGGTATACTTTGCGCTTTAATTGGAGCGACTTTCGCCTTAGCCGCCACTAATCGCACCCTAATCGTTCCGTCGCGATATCGTATACGCCAATACGCTGCGGATGCGTACGCACGTTCGCTCGCATCATTGAAGACGTGAAGTTGACGCTCTACAACTCCCCCCGTAGGAGCATAGCACCTTGGCAGTCGTAGTCGTGATACCTCCTCGACGACTCGCAGCCATCTCTGGAATTCCTCTGCTGCCTCCTCGGGTAGTTCGTCGTCCCATCCGACCTTCTTCATACGCCATAGGTCTTGTAGCAGGATCTTGGCGGTGATGGTGAGGTAACTTAGCAGTCCAAGTGGGTCAAAAACGGACATGACTGCGCTTAATGCTTCCCTCTTGGTCGGTGGTCGCTGTAGCGTCTTCACTTCTTGCGGCACCCTATTCATTGACGTGTTGAATGTTAGGGCGTCTTCATCAGCCATCCATAATCCAAAATCCCTAAGGTTCTGCCTGGGCTGTCTTGTCTTAAGCCTACTTCTTTAGGCTTACGCGCCAGTAAGTCCTCCGGCTTGTCTTCTAACAGGGCTGCGTGGTTAGAGTTCCATCCTGCCAAGGTGAAACCGGCCTGCTGGTGCACTTCCGAAACCTGCTTCGCCGTATTTATCGCTTCCTCTACCGTGGCATAACTGTCTAAATAATCATCCATATAATGGCTACGTATGATAGCGTTAAGTGCCAACGGGTGTGTCTCTGCGTGTACGCGCGCGTTATGATCCCTAACACTATGTGCGAGAAACGGCGAGCTCCTCGCACCGAAAATCATTGATGTCATAACGTACTCCCGCGGTGGGCTGTGTCACTCGTCTCCTCGCCAAAAAAACAACTGCGAGGGCTGGTCGCGACGGTCGATCTTTACACGCAAGAACATCTCCCTAATATCCGCGGACACCGCTATCTCGTTTTCCCTAAATCGAAACAGTATGCCCGGTAGGTTCCATAATAAGTCGGGGCCGTCGAGTAAATAATCGTTAAGGCATCTGCCGGATGCACGCGCTGCCGCGTCGAACACTAATCTCGTCTTCCCCGGCTTGTTCGGATTCCGTACTGCGAAGTGTGGCAGGTACCAGCTCTTGGGATCCTCTCGCTCTGTCCCTTCGGCTTCCCTTGCGTATCCCTTCGCCAGGAGGTTGTCTATCTGGGCTGTGTAGGCGTCACGAAACTCCGGCGACTGGTCCATCTTCCTCTCGATCGTCCGTAGTCTTCGCGCTGCCATCTCGTAGCTGGGTGGCATCCGCACGTTGTCGTCCTTCCATGGCAGTCCAACTTGGTATTGCTCGCCGACCTTCTTGACGGTGCGCTGGAATATGTCGACAGCGCGCTCCTCATCCCGTCGCGGCCTACTCTTCAGCGAGATACCTATAGAGTCTATCTCGTACTGCCGTTTGAGGAGTTCCGCTAGCTCCTCGTCCCGACTGGCAAACGTTCGCATGTCCCTATCTGACCGTCCGCTAGCGCTCTCTACGTGTAATCCGGTCTCAACGTCTTCCCTACACGTTAACCGCGGCACGGTTCCCTGAATTACCCATCCTAATAACGTTCGTGCAGCTATAGGCTGCCTTCGACGTCCTATCCTTAAAGCACGGGTAATTATCAAATGCCAATTGTCGGCGCCTAATAGCAGTCTTGGCTTCGCGTCATCGTAACACACCGAACTCGGTAAGTCACGTAAGTGCTTTAATCGTAAGCACTCCCTACTCATGGACTGCGAGCTTATCTTTAAGTCGGTTATTGTTCGCGCGTTTATGTTAAACATCTCGCTGCGCGTCTTGCCACGTACCCCTATATTGACTAATCTACTATTAGCCTCGCGTTGACTGTTCCCTACGCCTTTAATGTTGAGCGGCTTTATCGGTCCTTCCGCTCCTAACTCGCGAGCTAAGTCGTCGTCGATTAGCGATATCGTAGAGCCTTCGTCATTCACTTCCTTTCCGCATGGTCCGCGCACGGTTATCGGACACACTTTTAACAATACGGACGCACTACTGCTAACACTCGACGCGACGAGCACGGTTTCGTCCGGTTTAACCGACGCTGCAGGCGTACGGGCCTTACGGGTGTGAAGAAGAGCGTGGTGGGGGGCGTTACAACCGTCGACGCCGCACTTCCTGGCTTTGCAGCGTATACGTCGGTGCTTGCTGCTCAAGCACTTGAAACATACCCCATCTTCCCTAACCCACTTCCACCGGTCGTCCGAGCCCATTTGCTCTAACTTCTTACACTTGACGATAGGGTGTTCACCCCCGCAACACATACATGAGGCACTACCGGTGTCCTCCTGGGGGGTGAACGTCTTTACGTCGCGGGCCCTATCTTCTACGCGGCGTGTTAACACTATTCTTTTCGACGGCGGCGTTTCTCGTCTTACGGGCGATTCCTTATTCGACGCTACGGACGTATAGGCATGACTTAACGCACGGTCAGCCTCTCTCATCATGAACCGGGATAATGTAACGATGTCCGGTTCGTCCGCACTTCCGTAGTGCTCCGCATAATCGCACCAACGCGACCGTAAGTGAGGGCTAAGTTTGCTAGTAACCTCCCTAGTCAGCATTGGATTACGCAAATAACCCTTGCCGTCGACGTTTTGCATAATGCACACTATATTTTGTAACTTAATTGCGAACGAGTTTAATTCCTGGGCGGTTTGACCCGGGCGCGGAAGGCGTTTCAATTCTTCTAACGCACGATCTATAATTACTTCCGGGCGGCCGAAACACTGCTCCAGTGTCCGCATAATGTCTGCCGGATCCTTCGCGGTAAACGGCAGAGCCGATACTACCTCTCTAGCCTCACCGCGTAAACAGTTCCTTAATCTTGCCATATTTTCCGTATTTGTGAATCCATATAAACGCGTGGATTCATTCATCGCGGCTTTAAATGCTAACCATTCCGCGGCCGAGCCGTTAAAAATAGGCAAGTCCTGCGTCTGTTTCACGGTGGCTGGTCTAACTCTAACCATGCTTTCTAAGGCTTCCGCTAGCCGTTCTATACCCCTATCCTTCCCTCGCGGGGTGAGCAACCTATCTCTATCCCTATTTCCTTCTAGCCTACGCTGTGGCGCCGGCGACCTATGTACAACTACATCCCTATGACGCGGCGACGGTAATCTACGATCCGCAAGGCGATGTGGTGATTTATCTCTGCCTACATCATTACACGGCGACGGTGATCTACGATCCGCGTGGTGATGTGGCGATGGCGATCTATGTATACCTACATCCCTATGACACGGCGACGGTAATCTACGATCCGTAAGGCGATGTGGCGATCTATGTGTAGGCGATAGAGTACGGCGTTGGACGCGCGACGGCGACGTAGCTCGTACACGACGATCCACCTGGTTCATTTCTACGGCGACTCCATTATCCCTCTGTATCCTATTTACGCGGCGCGGTTGAACGTCATTCGCGACCGACTTCCCCTGGGCATCTTTAGCGTGGTCGTAACCGGTTCCCCTCCTCGGTGGGGCCTGCTCTATCTCGATGCGGGGCGCGAGCTGAGGCGGGCGGTAGGGCGGCTAGCCGCACAGTCTCTACGTTTTCTAACCACCTATCAACGCGTACCCTATTTTCGACTAATTCGTCCTCGTTTAGGCTTTCCCTATCGGTTTCTTCTTGCAGTTGCGCGATATCCCTAGCATATTTCTTCTTGACGAGATCTTCCTCTATTTGTAATTGCTTCCTCCTAATTGCAGCTAGTTCCTCCGCGGCATTATATTCGATTTGTTTTAATCTTGCTACTGCGCTAGCTGTCGACCGGGCTGAACGGACTGAACGGACCGACGGGGCGCGGGACGCGGGCCTATGTACAACGTCTGCTACAGGCGCGACGGTACGCACTATCGAACTAGTTTCCGTAGTCGGAAGATCTTCTATTATCGCGGCGAGCGTTTCTGTGCGCGGCGCGGATGTGCTAACTTCTCCCAAGCGATCGGTTGTAGACACGGACATAGCGGGGCGCGGCGGCGCGGGCGCGGGCGCGGGCATAGATGCGGGCGCGAGCGGGGGCTGCGGCGCGGCGGAGGGCGCTTGTGCCAACGCGAGATAATCGGACGGGGACGCGGGTGCTTCCTCGAATATCCGCATTCCTACTGGCGTTTCGTCGTCGTTCCGTGTCTTCTGGCTTCTTGTCTTCCGCATGATGGTGTCCCTCGTTGCGACCTCCGATCGTCTTCAAAAAGACGCACGTATTGGACGCCGTTCCCGCCTCAAGGGCGTTACCAGATGGTCACAGTTTGGCACCGTTAGGGAGCAACCACCCGGCCGCGTAAACGCGGTTAAGAAACAGGAATTGACGTCGATGTAAATAAGAAACGAGGAAGGAGTTAGTACCGACGATCTTCTCTCTTCGTCGACGTACTTCTTTCTTCCTCGAAGATCTTCTGTAATGATCTTCTTTCTTCTGTAATTATGTTCTCTCTTCTATAATTATGTTCTTTCTTCAATAATTATGTTCTTTCTTCAATAATTATGTTCTTTCTTCAATAATTATGTTCTTTCTTCAATAATTATGTTCTTTCTTCTATAAATATGTTCTTTCTTCTTTCTTCTGGCTTGAATCCGGCGACGATGGACCAAGAACTTGTTATGGATCGCAGTGGACTGTATTATTGGGGGGTACGCTAGGGGCAACTGCTCAAAGAAAAGATGGTACTGTCGAACTATACTGTATTCTAACTATTTACAAATATGGCACTATCAATTAAACTATTATACAGAGGGGAGTCTTCTTAATGGAGTCTTCTTGAGTCTTGATTTTCTTGATTTCTCTTGCTGTCTTCTTCTCGTCGAGTGCCGCTTCCGAAATGAACAGCTCACCGTCTTTTTTTTTTTTTTTTTTGCGCCCGAAGCAATTGGAAAAGGGCTACCCCGGAGGGAGGCGGAAATGCATTACGCATACCACGACAGCCGGTCTATCGTGGTTATGTGGGACTCACTGTGACTACCTACTGGGGAACCTAAGTGATACCCACTAAAACCGCCTTTGGGGACTGGCAACTAGCTGTTTAAAGCTTCTTATGCCGTATCGGAAGCGACCCTCTTTTGGGAAAAGAGGGCGCATGCGGCTATTAGCCGCTGAGGGAGTGCCTGCGAAGGCAAATTAATTATGAATAACTTAATTAGAGTTGGCCTGAGCCGCCAGGAGGCAGTTCAGGTCGTTTGAAAGTTTATTAGGCGGGTCCGAGAGGGAGTTCCTCGGCCTGCGGACGCTATAGCGGGAGGGGAGTGGGGCTGCATAATTAGCAGCCTCACGAATAAAATGATTGGAATGCGACTCTGAGGCTTTGAAGAAGTTCTCAGAGAGTTTTTTAAGGAATTGTTGAATTGTAGGGAGCTCTAGGTCCCGATGAAGGTCGGCATTGCGGACGTACCAAGGTGCGTTCGCAGCTCGACGACAGAAAAGGTTTTGAACTACTTGGAGTTCATTAATAATTTTAGGGTTAGAGTGGGCGAAAATGGGGCCCGCGTAGGACATGACTGGTCGTATACAGACCTTATAAAGGGTACGCTTGTTTCTGAGGGACATTTTACTGTGTCGGCCCAACATACTGTTGAGCCTATTCAGGTAAAAACGTGCGTGACGGGTTACTCTTTTGACGTGGGGCCTGAAAGTTAGCCCTGTGTCTAGAGTGACACCTAAATATTTGGCAGACGTATGCCAGGGGACAGGGGTCCCTAGCATACGTATTGGTGGAGTGTTTTTGAGACGGCGTCGTTTATAATCGAAGTGAACGGCGGAGCTCTTCTCCGGGTTCACATCGATGCGCCATTTTTTGAACCAAGCTCCTAGGTCATCAACTGACTTTTGGACCTTGTTCCGTATGAAAGGTAGCGAGATACCTTTACAGTAGAGAGCAGTGTCGTCTGCGAAGAGGGAGAGCTGAACACCTTTCGGCGGAATGGGAATGTCGTTGGTGAACAGTATGTACAGCAGAGGAGCAAGAACTGAGCCCTGAGGGACACCAGCTTTGATGGGGCGCTGTGAAGATAGCGTGCCTTCGTGTCTAAAACGAAAGGTACGATGATTAAGATTAAGATAATATATATGATTAAGATATATGATTAAGATAAGAGGCCACGAGACGTACTAGACGATCGGGGAGACCTATTTTGTATAGTTTGTAGATAAGGCCCGTATGCCAGACTCTATCGAAGGCTTTGGCGATGTCGAAAAAGACCGCGATAGTCTTATGACGATGGGGATAAAAACCGCTGAGGATATATTCCACAATACGGTGAACTTGTTGGGGGCAGGAGTGTTTCGCTCGGAAACCGAATTGATGGGGAATGATAAGAGGGTCACCGTCTGTGGGAAACAGATGGCGCCTCATGCGGTTTTGGATGACTCTTTCAAAGAGCTTGCCCATGGCCTTGAGGAGGCTAATGGGGCGATGACTGGAGGGGAGGTTGAGAGGCTTGCCTGGCTTAGGAATACCAATCACAGTTGCCTCTTTCCACGTAGTGGGAAAGTAACTAAGGTTGAAGCAGGCGTTGAAGATAATAGATAAAAGGGTTAACACCTGCTCGGGAAAGTTTTTAAGGGCTTGGTTGGATATGCCATCCGCGCCCGGAGCCTTTTTAGGTTTAAGTCCTTTAATGAGGGATGAAATCTCATCATTGGACACAGAGATAGGTTCGGAGGCCGTAGGGGGTGAGTTCCGGCGGCGGACCTCATCCTCCACTGCCTGGACGTGTGAAGGGTCGACGGGTTGAGAGCTAAGAGAGCATTGAGCGGCAATACTGTCTGCAAAGCACTCAGCCTTTTCCTCGTCCTCGAAGGCAACCGAACCGTCGGGGCTGGAGAGAGGGGGAGTGTGGGTTATAGCGTCTATACGGAGGGCTCTAGCCATCTGATAGTACGCTGTATGAGAGGGAGATATATTCTCCATGAGTTTACTCTTTTCGAGGTCTCGAAATTCAGAGAGGCGGAAACGGAGTTCTCGTTGCAGACGATTGGCCGTGCGCCTATATTCGGGCGTGGGATATTTTGCTGCTCTCCGGAAAGCAGCTTTCTTGGCTTTTAATAGGTTGCTAATATGTAGGGGAAGCCCACTATTCTTAGCAACCGGGACTTCCTTTTCATTCTCCTTAAGGGAGGTTTTAATAAGGGTGGAGAGTGAATCGACCGCGGTGTCGATTTTTTCGGGACTGTCTAAGTCAGACGATAGGGAGATGGGAGAGTTCTGTGAGTCCAGAGTTTTCGCTAGGGACTCCTTGAAGCCCTTCCAATTTGTGAAGGTTTTAGTAGAGGGTGTTGGGAGTGGTGGCTGATGGCCAAAAATGAGAGAGACCGGTCGGTGGTCGGATCCTAGATCGTCTAGTGTCTCGATAGCCCTAAGGTTGAGAGAAACTCCTTTGAGTAACGCAAAATCTAGTACATCGGGGGCATAGTCGGTGTTATCGGGAAAGTGAGTAACACCGAGAGGACTGTGGACGGTAATATCAAGAGACTGCGTGATATCGAGCAGTAACTTGCCACTACGGGTGGTAGTACGGCATGTCCATTCAGTATGCTTGGAGTTAAAATCTCCAAACATAATGACTGGGTTACCTAAAGATAAAATAGCCTCAAAATCTCTTTTGAGGGGAAGGGTTCCCGCGGGGATGTAGCAGGAGGCTATGAGAATGGACTGATGTCCAGTCATAGCTAGCCTGCATACCGTGGCTTCCATATTGGTAAGCTGCGGAGTAGAAATGGGAGAGCAATGGAGTGTCTTCTTGTAATAAATGGCCGTACCGCCACCTTGGCGGTCGATCCTGTCATTACGAAGAAGAGAAAAGTCTTTAATAGAAAGGCCTTTAGTGTCCTTAGTTTTGAGGTTAGTTTCCTGTAGGAGGAGGAAATCGGCTTCACGACTTCGAAGAA